CATGCACATGTGCATGTGCCCATGCATGTGGCAGGCACCCCCTGTGTCCCACTGTCACCAGCCTCCTGTAGGCTGGTTCCTGAGTTTTCCTCTTTTAAAGAAAACCTGTGGTCTTCTGTAGCAAACAGAAAACCCAAATCCCTGCTCATTACCTTCCATTTGTGCATGAAATTACTAGTACCAAACTAGGCTGCAAAAATACTTTTGTAGCCTGGTATTTGTCATCTTGTAGCTTTCCCACTGGATTTTTTAAGAGACTGTACTCCACATCAAGTTCTCTCTCCATTTTAACCACTCTTACCTCCTACTTGTCTTCTATCCACAATCTTTCCTGTGAAAGAAGGCTAGAGAGGATGATATTTCTGGGCTTCTCATATGAGGGTAAAATGCCAAAAATGGTTTCCTTATCCTAGGGTTGGTTTCCTTTACTGTGCTCTTAGGCGTCTGCTACCTAGATTATGGAAAACAAGTGGAGTTGCACCTTGTCGTGAATCAGAGCAGCCGCCGGCAGCCGTCTGACTCACACCGGAGTGTTTAGATTTTGAACTCGGCAGGCGGGTAATTGATGGATGGAGTGGAATTAACCAGGCACAGACACGTGTAGGTTACAGGAGTTTGTTTACTTATGTCGCCTAAATAGTGATGACGACGCAGGCGAGCCTTTGTTCCGTTACAGCTTCGGTTACAGAGTTGAATACACGCATATAGCTTTGGTTACAGAGTTGAGTACACGCAGTCAGGTTACAACGAGATAATGACGGATGTGGAGATGGACGTGGCGCCGGAACGAACGGTCGGGCTTGCAAGACTTTCTACGTCAATATTTTACGCTGATGGGGTGATTGATTGGGAGTTGATCAAGTTCCCAACTCTCTGGTGACAAGCACAGGTGTTTCCTGTGAGATCCCCAGAGTTCTCCGACTTGGGCGGAAACCGTTAAACTATTTATAGGCAGAGGTGTTTGACATAGACACCCAATGATGGGCCGTTATGTGGAATCTTTAATTTTTTGGCAAGCAGCAGCAGTTTGTCTCCTCAAGTTACAGGGTAGTGGGTTAGGTTTCTCTACCTGTTACGTGTGTGCTACGTGTGAGGAGCTTACGCTTATTTTTTGACCAATTATATATAGTTTCCCCTAGCATTTTATTTCAGCTGACCAATTATCTTCAGTTCTCCGCCAGCGTTTTGTTTCAAGGAATTTTTGGCAGGGATGTCTTTTAACCCTTAATTGTCAAAATGAGGATGATTTGAATGGTATCTCTTGCTTAGTGACATGGGCACAATTTAATTGGGTTGTGACACACCTAAGTGTCACATGGGGCAAGGCAAACTGCTACCCAAAACCACAACACTATTCTTTCTTTTTTTTGATTGTTCTAACATTTTTGCAGTAGCCTTGATAATCTACTAGCTCTGTTTATCCTCTTCTTTTCCCTAC